AGGGGAAAACGTTGAAATAAATTTGATAGACGGTATTGTTGGAGAAGATGAGCATGCTGATGAAGAAGTTGAAAATGTTGCGGACACAGAAAACATCGCCGAGGTAAGTTATGAAAAAATCAATCTGGAGAAATTGAGATAGAGGAACGCGGGCCTAACCGTTTTTGAAACTGCTTGGAAAGAAGATCAAGTTTGTCGAGAAGTCAAAGTGCCAATCAAATACTTCAATGAATTCTTCGATGATGAAATAATAAACAAGATTTGCAACGAAACAAATCTGTATTCAATGCAAACTAAAGGAGTAGAGCTAAACTGTTCGCCATTCGAAATTAGGCGATTCTTTGGTGTACTTCTTTATTTAGGCATTATACAAGTTCCAAATTTGAGAATGGCTTGCATGCCAAACTTCAGGTTAACGGCTGTTGCAGATTCTATTTCAAGAGCGCGTTTTGAGAAAATCAAAGAATCTTTCCACATAAATGATAATTCTCAACAGCCGGAGCGCATAAAAGTTGTATAAAATCAACCACCGTTCCAAGAAGTGGTATATGCGTATAGTGTACTGGTGTCTTAGCACAGCAGTAGTCAATAGCTGGTTGATGTATAGAAGGGACCTAAAAAATCAAGCTGGGAAAACGAAACATATGTCATTGTTAAACTTTCAACTGATGATATCAAACGAGCTTTTACACGCGTCTGATATGGAGCCAGTAAACCAACGCAAAAGAGGTCGCCCATTGGCAGCTCTTTCAAGCATAGACTCAGATTCATCATCACCGTCGTCTCCAGCACCATCAAATATTTCAAACGTTTCATCACAAAGTTCATCGCAATCTACAAAACGATAATATATATCTAAACCTCCAAAATCCATGCGCCTCGATCAAGTGGGTCATTGGGTTGAATGGGGAGCAAAAGGAAGGTGTAGGTTATGCCATACCGGGATTCCAAAATCCAAATGCTCAAAATGTAAGGTACATTTATGTTGTAACCCCCAAAAAAACTGTTTTGCTTCATACCATACATAAAAAGTTAATAAAAGTAATAAAAAAATAAATAAATATCAATATTCCTTTGTGTTTTGAAATATACCACTATGGCTAAATGTTGCTTATAGGCAACTTCTCATAACTGTAAAACCAGAAGTCCTAGAGCCTTGAAATTGATATCAGTTCATATTTAGGACTCTAACATCAACCTAACGTAGTAAAAATATTTTTAACCGCGCCCACTTTAATTCTGACATTAAAGGGTTAAAGCATGAAAGCGTACCAAACAAAAAAACTCACTTTCGCTTTTATATACAGGGTGTCCCAGAAGTAACGTGCCAAACTTTAGGGCAAGGTAGGTGGGGGGGTGAGCTCACTGATAAACAAAAAATTTTCAGGTAAAAGTGTCACCGTTTTTGAAATATTTACATTTTTTCGAATTTAAAAAAAATCGTGCCTTTTTATGTGTTTTCTTTAACTGCAACTACAAACCGGGCAATACTTAGTAAATTTTTTATGTAAAATACTTCCAGATAGTTGCCTCTCCATACTCAAATGCAATGTAGTTAAAATAAATTAAGGAACCATCATAAAATTAGGACTATTTCTGGATTTTTAACTTTTTGATATATTCTTCCCCAACTTTGACTATCTCGGGTGAAAAAAAAATGTACTGAGCTATAACTTTACATTACATAAAAAAATTGCTCATTTAATAAAGATTTCAGAAAGGTGCCACACTTACTGTTTTGAATAGAAAAAAAAA